GTTTACGTTCTGTGCATATTGTTTAGTTGTGTGGTTGTGTTTCATTAATTATTTTGTGGATTTAAATAATTTATAGTTTGTGTTAAACTAAAAAATGGCTTCAGAAGGATGCCTTAAAGCGCCAGCAAACAATTTACCATGTGTACATATTTTTATGGTTACCGAATTTTTAAAAAACGACGAACGCTTTAATTCAGCCGAATTTAAGGGTCTCAAAGCAGCAGCGTAAGTATAAATCCGTAAATTCATTATTAGTTACTGCTTCTTTAATATACTAATCTGTCTGTATTGGTTTAAATTAGGTAAATAATATATGGAATTTCACTTATTCAACTTAACGTAACCATATGCACATGGCTGCTTTGACAGTAAAATGAACTCTTAAATTTGTATTTTGGGTATCACGAGAACAACATGGTGATATCGGATATGTTGAATTGAAATGCGAGGGTTCTTTGTACACTGTACAAGGTAGAATTTGCCCAGAACTTGATTTAGGAAGATCACGTACAGCTGCTTTGAACCATAAAACTTTACATGCATAATCATGAGGAACGGTTAGAAAGAGTTTGTTTGGAGGACTTATTGTATTCTTGCATCCTGGCACAAAACACCACTTATTTTGTGATTCATACATGTCGCTATTTTTCATTACATTATGCAAGATAATAAGCAATAAAATAATGATAATCACAATAACTTAAATAATAAAACAAAGCTGCGAAAACAGCAAAATAAACACGAGACACTTTGTTGATATGACCTGCTACGTCACAATCGGGATAGGCAACCGATGATACGGCTTCGGTGTTTTTGGCGGGAAATATCTGATATGAATTTAAATTCGCTTTAAAATTATTACGGAGACTTTTTTTGCAAAAAAAATGATAACAGTGTAATGTTTGCCATAACTACTTTCTATATATCAACATTAAAAAAAAAAGTGAAAACACCCTATGAAAGCATTGCTTACTTACTTGGCTTACAGAAAAATTAGCTTTAGAAAATCGTGGTGAAAACTAAAAAATTGCATAAAAATTTACCGAACTTTAAGATTCACTCTTCAACAAGCTAGAGCATCCAATGAAAAAAAATCACATCGTTCTTAATCTGCAGCTTCTGAACTTCACGTAGGCCTTAGCCTCATGGTTTCATTATTTTCGATTGCATTTTCAACTTCTGTTATGTAGTTTGCTTCCAAATTCGAGCGTATGTATTTTCTTGTTTCTCTTCCGATTTCGCGGTATTCTTCTGTGTTTTGTTTGCCTTCGCCGTACAAGATCCTTCATTTTTCTATCAGCTGAATCGTTTCCGCTCTTAGTTTGTTTGTTTTTGTTGTTTCTTTTTTGCGATATTGAATGATATTTATTTAAGTATCGTGGTCAGGTGTGTTGCCACTTCATTTATATTTGTTGGGCTTATATTTTCGCTTAATTTGGCTTTCAATTCGTTTTGGTATATGATTTTGTTTTTTTTTTCAGAGTGCTGCTATCTATTGAGTCTGTTGTGTTTAATATATCTTTTCGGCTTCTGTATGGATAATTTAGCTCTGACTTCTCAATTCCAGTCCTCTTGGATATAAATTTTCTATATTGATGTTCAACTGTTTTTGAGTTAATAACAATTTAAATGTTCGGGCGTTCCATTTATAAAAATTTCAGTTTGGTCAGGAACCCTGTATCAATTGGTGTAATCTTGAAATAAAGTAGACGTTAACATTTACGACTTTTGTATATAACATTTTTCCCTAGATTTCAAATTAGGATGGATGGTAGGGTTTTTTAGGTAAAACTCTATAAGAGAAACTAAGTACAGTGGCAGTGAATGCACGGCAAACAAATTGTACATAAGGCTTGTGTGCCAAACATTATAAATGAAGTGTAAATGAAGCATCGCTATCGAATAATTGTAACAAATTACAGCTATCGAATAATTCGAAATCACTGGTTGTAACCACCGCTGAGCACCAGGTAAATAAGTGAGGAACTGGAAGAACCAGCTAAAATGGTCGCTTTATGGCCTGATGAGATCAGATTCAATTCATTTTAGGGTTTTAATTAACAAGTAAGTCGGTATAAAGTAGTGATGAAAATGCCAAAAAAATATAAAAAAGGCGTCTAGCTAGTCAAAGCGAAATAGCGTCCGTTTTCCAGCCACCTTCCAAACATTCGGCGCCACTAAGCGTGTTCCATCAGCTCTAATTAAAATATTTCCGAGCCACTGGATCGGCGATGTACCGTTTAGTGTCGTCGCTTTAAAACTGAA